CACATGTCACGCTGTGAAGCAGAGGAGAACAACCAAGTTATCACCGCGTCGAGAATAGTTTATTCTTAGTTTTATTTGCCGCTCATGAACTCTTCTCTCATCTCCGCCATGCCTTATGATATTCATGATGAATTTATTTAGATGCCTAGTTTTAGGATGTAATTTTTTTTCCCTTCTATACTAGATAACGGTTCTTGTTTCTTCCCTTATTGCCTTATCACCCCTTGACTCTGGAGCTTCTCATTATTTCTTGCTCTCGTTGATTTACGGAGTACCAACTCTCGTTCCTTATCTCTGGTCCTTGCGTTTAATTGCCGGCGGCGGCAATTTGTTTTAAGGGGCTGCTCTGGGCAAGCGAATGTAAGGACCGTGAATTTTTGATACTAGTTAAATAATTTTTCTAGTATTTTAAAACTATTTATTTATTATTTTAAAGAGTATTTTTCATTTTTTCTCGATTTTCTTACAATTATTCTATGATTTAAAAATTCTGCATTTATATATTTATTGAAATGATTTTGATATTTATCAAAATTTTATTTTATGCCCAGTAAAGAATTTCTAGACATTAATTTGTTGTGTTATCGGAGCGTGAGCGTGACATATTCATTTAAATAATATTATCGTATTTATAATATTATTATTCAATTATTTTCGTATAAATACTTTGTATTATTAACTACATATCTTTTTAGTTATAACATTGTCTGTATTAATTCTATGTTACATATTATCTGCTCGCAATTAGTATAACTAGTACCGTTTTACTGTGTACGTCAATATGTCCCATAATTATTTGATTTAAATGTAAAGTTAATATATTTTTATTATTACTTTACTCCTTGCTTTAATGGTATACAATGATGAGTTTATCTTTCGACTACTCTTCGTCATCACATTGTCGTCAATAGCCACAACATGTACGTTTTTAATTATAGATAATTATTCTGTAATTAGATTATTTTCTTACCAATACCGCTATACATTATTTATTTACATATTTACCCTAACCCTTAACCCCTACATTACCATATATATATATAGCGTATATGTTTCTCCTGTTCAAAAAATCAAACCCGCAGCCACTGTCATCATTCACCTTCGCCGCCCTCTCTCTCTCGTTTCTCCTTCCGAACCCATCGACCACCCGCTCGACCTTGCCGCCTTCGCCTGACCCGCAGACCCGCTGCCGCCTCCGTCGAACCGCCGTTCACCGCCCTACCCCGCAGCCGATCTCTGGACCGCCGCCTCCCTCTGTCGCTCTACCTTCTATCAGCACCGACGAAGCCGCCCAAACCCAGCCGCCTGCCACCCGCAGGCCTGACCACCAGATCTCAAACCGCACCCGCCTACACCGCCTCCCCTCTCCGTCAGCGTCCCCTGCTCCGGCCACCGGCTCCCCTCGTCCTCCTCCTTCCTCCACGGTCCACCAGACCCCGCCTGCAACCAGCCCTCCCCCGCTCAACTCGCCACCTCCGCCTAGATCCGCCGCCCCCTCTCGTCGCTCCGCCTCCGACCAAGCCAACCACCCCGATCCGCCTCCGGCCACCACAGCAGCCA